CATTTAACAGTGATAAAAACATGTCTATGCATATTTTAGCAGCTGTTAACATGTAACGTTACTGACTGACGTCCGGTTTTTGCCTGTCAGTTAGGAGTGAGTTCGCAGTGCGACTTATCTCACAATTTCAAAATTCCATATCGTGCGTGCACAAAATTATTAATAACCATATAAACAGATTGAAACTGAATTTGCTCATAAAACAAAGTTTGAAATGCGTCGCGTTCTCCACCATCTTTGTAGCCACATCGAGATGTGCCTTAATTAGCTCAAATTATGCATAGGGAATTTTAATAATTAATCATGAATATGATTAATATATTGCATATTACAGTTAAATTATCGAAATTGAAAATAGATCGATTGTATATATGAATGGTAAATCATAACGAATTATAATTCCTCATTCATATATCAATGGTCTCATTACAGATCGATTATATGAGACAACTTTAAGGGAATCAATTTAGTTTATCAAACAATCGGTTTGTCCAGCAAACAGCCGTAAGGTTAACTAACCAACTTCTCAACAAGGTTGTCCCTTTTTATAAACTCCAAGAAATCTCAATGTTCCGGCCGTGAACATTAATTTTCAGGTGTTTATAAAATTTACGTTACTGATATAGTAACAACTTGTAAAGCTTTTGTAGCTATAGGACCGCATTTCATTGACTTATAAAGTATGAGCATTCAAAAACAATCAAAAATATAATGGTTTTAATAAAATGAAACTACGGATACAGAATTCTACATTTAAACACGGGATACATGTATGTACAGTAAACAGTAAAACTAATGATACAGACGAACAACAAACAGGAGTGAGAGAGAGAGATTGCGAGAGCGCAAGATTGGGAGTGAGAGAGAGAGAGAGAGAGAGAGAGAGAGAGAGAGAGAGAGAGAGAGAGAGAGAGAGAGAGAAGATGAGAGATCTTCTGGTTTGGCAAAATTCATCACAGACACAGAACCTTTTTAGACACCAAGAATCAACAGATCTTAAACCTTGAACGAATGGTAAACGGTTACTTGCACAGGTAAAGCTCTTTGTGGTTGATGTGAAGCAGGGTGCGTGTCTCTGTCCTCGCGTCATGCGTTCACGTGGTCTTTCAGAGCGGGCAAAGCGCGTTAGTTTGAATGAAGGCTTAAAGGTCTTTGGTTCTCCTGGTGTTGCTGAGGAAAACTGTGTCTTGCGTGTGTGTGTATCTCTGTCATGTGGCTGCCGAGCGTTCGGGTTCGTCCAGCGAGCGCGGCGTGTTTGAATGTCCTTGTAGGTGAAGCTTGCCAGTCTGGCTGTGTTCATTTTCTTCGCGAGAAGACATGAACAGAGGAGCCTTCGAAAAAGATAAAATAAACTTGAAGAAAACAAAAAGAGAAACGATGGATCATCACACTAAGGCGATGTCCAGACGCACGAGGGGTCACATGATGAAGCCACGAAGAGCAGGAAGAGCCAGGGAGTTTTGGCAGAGGGTTTTCAGGAAGCTTTCAGAAGGGTTTCAGCAGCCGCCTAGGGAAGCTCGGCGCGTCTCTTTAAGGACACTTAGGTTCACGCCCCTTCTGGCATGAAGGCACCAATCAGCTGGGAGAAAAGTGCCCACGGAAGATTCCTCTTTGTCTTGTCAGGATCATTTATGATGGTATAACATTTTGTCATTCCTACCCAGAAAGATTGTACAAACCGGACAATAGATTTTACAGTAATATCCTATGTATGACTGGTTCAGTCAAGACAAGACGGTCAAACAGCTACCAGACATGGCAGGTAAAAGTAGAAGAACATAGAGTTGCATTCATATGCAGAATTACAAGCATTTTAAAGTTGGTTAACACGCTATAAAATTGTCAGTACTTCCTGTATGGCATGTGACGACATCTAAGCACAAAATGAATACATTTAAAACATTTAGAGGTACTTTTCTCTGAAAAGTTCCATGGCTGGTGTTTGTGTGTTAATGTGTTGGAACATTCTTTTGATGAACTCTTAGACTTCAGAGCTATACACTAGCAAACCACACTTCTATTATAAAGCAAAGCTAATAAGATATGCATGGGTACAGGAAGGTTGGATACAATTTCTGTGATATATACATTTATATACACAATATAGGACATTTGTGTGTGTGTGTGCATTAATGTGTGATTGTCCTTAAGCGTTCAGGCAGCTTTGTGGACTCTTTCTGTGTGGGGGGGGGGGATGCGTGTCTCGTGAGACGGCGAGGTACGAATGGTTGTCCATTTGTTGAAGACAACGCTAGCTTGTTCCAAATGTGTCATGTGCTAGCCATAGTGGCACCAATCTGGTCAACATGCCCGAAGGGGGTCGTATACAGAATGCCCCCTTTGTTTACTCACGAAGAACTGACCTTTGTTTGCAAATCGGGATTCGCTAATTTAGATACATCTCTCCGGATACCCTGTCAGAGTCACTACAGGGTGGTACATCGATCCAGGGTTTCCACTGTGTAGCCTACATCCTGCCCGAATCGCCCGATTCGGCGAAGGAAGGCCGACCATCGCTATCTGCGCTCGTTTTGCAGATCGTCTCAAGTTCAACGAGAATCTCCGCAGCTCAAGATGGCGCTATAGTCTATGCTCGCTCCCTGGTCAATAAAACTTTTATCTGCAACGACTTCATCACTTCAAATCGAGGGGGTAATCCACCAGCCGGAAACTGAAGCCTCCCCGGGGGCCACCGTTGGCTAACAAGCCTTCACCTCCTGTTAGCATTCCATTGACTCCCATTCATTCATTGACGACAATGTATAAAAGGCTCCATTACCTTGTATCTTACGTTATGGCCCCGTAGAAGCAGTTTTTGTAAAAATAGGCTAACGATTGCGTCATAACACGCGACTCTCTGTCGCACAATAGAGAAATTATCGTATAAACAGAAGTAGAGGCTCGCTCGCAATCGGGGTGATGTGGAGGCATAAAGTCAAGGGAGAAGCCCATAGAGAGTTGTAAAGTTGCTCCTGCTGCTAGCTCATGGACAGCTAATACTCACGCTCTCCGGCTCTGCAAGATTCGGAAGGGAATGATTCAGATTCCTCTTGGCACAGCTACTAGAAGACGTACAACTGTGAGACAGGTTGCTCACGTCACATCTACGTCATCAAGCTCAGTGTGAGTCTGCGCAGTGCGCTTGGCAATCAGGAAGTGAGTGCTTCTAATTGACTTCACTTTTCTCCGTTGAAGTCTATGGGGTCGCTGTGTCCATTTATTTTACTGTCTATGCTTCAAATGATCTGGAATTCTTCTTTGTGACACATGAGTCATGGGTAAAATCAGGTGACCTAAGTCCTTTCTCTGAACTTGTGCCTCCTAACTTTGAATTTTTTAATACCCTTCGTCCTACAGGGCGAGGAGGAGGTCTTGTGACGGTTTTTAAAAATATCTTGCAAGACTACTGACTACTGCCAGTCCTACTGTCACATTGTTAATGTGTTCTGTTCTGTGTTGTGATCTTGTTTCCCCCGGTCTTTGTGATTTTGGTTTAGTCCTGTTAGTTTTTCCCTGTCTGTTTAATTAGAAATTCCCTACACCTGCGTGTCTTGTTAATTTTCCCATTAACCCCAGTTCATTTAAGCCCTGTGGTTTCCCTCAGTGTTTGTTGGTCGTCGTCTATGTATGGTTGTGTTTTGCTGAGTTCCTGTTATTCTCCTGAGTTCCTGTATTTTCCTGAGTTCCTGTATTTTCCTGAGTTCCTGTATTTTCCTGAGTTCCTGTATTTTCCTGAGTTCCTGTATTTTCCTGAGTTCCTGTATTTTCCTGAGTTCCTGTATTTTCCTGAGTTCCTGTATTTTCCTGAGTTCCTGTATTTTCCTGAGTTCCTGTATTTTCCTGAGTTCCTGTATTTTCCTGTAACCTGAGTTTGAGAATAAACCAGCTGCATTGAAATTCTGTTCCCTCGTCTTCAGCAACCTGCACAGACCTGACCCCTACTAGCTTTGAGGTTCTGTTGATTCATTTGAATTCCTCTAATTCTGTACTGATTGTTTTAATTTACAGACCACCTGCATCGAACAATAATTAATTTGTTGACTTTTTGGGGGAAATTCTGACTAAATACGATTGCATTTTAATTTTGGGCGATTTCAATATTCATGTCTGCTATGCAGCTAATGCCTTAGCAAAGGATTTTTTTAAACCTTATATCTTCATTAAACTTTGTACAATGGGTAAAGGCCCCAACAACAGGAATGTTGTTCTTGTTCATGATGACTTGAATTACTGTTTAATATGGGAGATGTAAGCAATGTTGTCATTGCTAATAGTTACCAATCTTACCATCACTCCACAATGTTGAATCATATAAAAGAAAGATTTAATGGTTTTAGGGCAAATTTGAAATGCACTGTCTGTAAATAATTGATTATTGTACATTCAAACAGCACCATCTATCTGCTGTTTATTGCTAGTAGAGTGAGACTGGGGGTTCTATTGCATCACATGTGACGTTTCCAAGTGGTCAAAATAGTTTAAGTTTACAAATTAGTACTACATTGCAAATTATCTATTTTAACAACAAGTAGGCTATTCCAAATTGTGCCGCTTTCGTTCATGCCTTAATAGATAAAGTGATGGAAGCTAATACCAAAAGCATGCATTTAAAAAGTCATTAATTATGGTTTCATGTTGACTTTTCAACAAAAAGCTAATGAGCCATTGAAATTGCAATGCTTTATTTAGTTCAGAAACAAGGATCATACACCAAATCAATCAGACAGTTAAGAATGTTAAAACGACACCAATCAGTATTGTAATCATCAATCAAAACTTCTGGTAGTTGTTGAGCTGTAGATGTTTTGCCCATGTCTATTTAAAAAAAAAATGTTGTCATTTACTCAAGCTATGTTGTTCCAAACCCATGAAACAACAATGATTTCTTATTTTTGAAATAACACAACACTTCCAATATTGATTATATAATTTGTCTGTTTAACAATTTTCAATTATCTGATTAAAAACAACGAGAACATACATTTCTTGATGAACCCATGTGGAAAAAGTAAAGACTGAAAAATCTTAGGTATTGAATTTGATGACCATTTCAATCAAGTCAAAACTTGGAAAATCCATGGCTATGATCCCAAAACAAGGCTTGGGACTCTTTTTTAATTCCTTTGCAAGATGATCTATCAAAGAAGGATTGATTTTCTTTGCCAATTTTTGTGGCAATAAAAAAAAACCCATATATGTACCTAAGCTTGTGCCACTCGAGTAGCTCAGACTAATTTTCTCAGCAGAATCAGTTCTACATTGAGTAGCAGCTTTTTCCAGATGCTGTTTAATTTTTGTCACTTTGTCTTGGACTTTAGTTACTTTATGGTCTCCTATTTGGTCAGTTTCAAACAACTTAATCCCCAGCTGAAAGCTGTTTTTCTGAACAAAAACAATCTTTCCTCTTACTTCACCAATGCTCGGAATTTTCTCATTTTTATAAATATCGTTATCATTTTTAATCAATTTTTCAACTAAATTTGGAACTTTTCCCTTCATAGGAAAAACGGGCTTAACTCTGAGAAGCACTACCTCATTTCTGAACTGAGTTAAAAATGTCTTGACTATGCAGATAACTTCTGGCAATGATGTTCTTTGGTAAATCGGTCCATGCATAATTCTTAATCCAAAGCCAGACACTCTGAGGTCGAAGTAGCGTATCCCAGCCTTTAGCTGGTCCTCTGTTGACCATGCCTGACATTCTGTTGGTGCTCCTCCATGAAGAGCCAAGGCGTCATGGGTACCAGGAATAGTGAGGGTAGAGATGAGCTTGTTATTGTCCAGAGTTTCCATCCACTTACTAGTGTCAGGACTGGCTGGTTTGCATTCATCAACTATTATTTGTTCGAGTTCGCTTTCATCAGCGCCCGTAATGCCATCATCTTCATCTTGCCCTTTACTCTTTAGCAGTCTGTGGAACAAAACCAGAATATCAAGTTAACAATGTCCTTGATCAAATAAAAAAATAAAAAAAAAATAAAAAAAGTGATTCTTCATATCAAAATGCATAGAACTAAAAACTATTAAAATCTTTTTTTCTAGCACAAAGCAAATAACAAATTTTGCATAAAAAAATAGGGCAAATATATGATTTCGTTTTTAATATTTGTAAGCAACAATGGCCCAACATCAGCCTACGGTTCCCTCCATGATACACTGCATGATAAAAGCATAAACTGACCATCAGTTGTTCTTTAGGTGATAACATGCAAAAATGAAGACAGCCACGCCTGCGATTAAAAGGCATTTGAATTTGACAGAAATGTCACATGGGGGTCAACCTCTGCGTAGCCTTGTTTAGAGAAAATATTTGTATATATTACTAATAAAAAAGGAAACGTCAATTCTTGTTTCTGTTTGTTTCATACAAACCAAATTTTCCAACAAATCATTCTGTACAGTCATGAAACAGATTTTTTCATACTTACAACAGCATCAGAATAAACAGAGTTTTCCCTGTAATTATCTTCATCTTTACCTGTGATTATCAAAGAATGAATCAATACATTAGTAAAAGGTATATCTCTATACAAAAAAGTGAATAATTTAGAAGGTTCCACAGACACAAAAAATATATACAGAATTTTTTTTTTCTTAATAGTTTTTCACAAATGAGAGAGAGAGAGAGAGAGAGAGAGAGAGAGAGAGAGAGAGAGAGAGAGAGAGAGAGAGAGAGAGAGAGAGAGAGAGAGAGAGAGAGAGAGAGAGAGAGAGAGAGAGAGAGAGAGAGAGAGAGAGAATGAGAATGTGCAGTGATAAATGTCTTTTGACCCAAAATTGAAGTCATTATTTTTTTTTCTGGTTTATTTTGATGGTCTATAAGTATAAGAAACTATAAGTCACTTTGCAACTAAATAACAACTAACTCTCATTAAAGTATTAGAAGATAGTTCGGGTTAGTGGAATAAGTTGACATGTATTTGCAAAGTTATTTGGTTACAAAAAGGTTTAGTTAGATACCATTAGTTAACTACATTAGTTAACATTAACTAATACTGAACTGCACTTCTACAGCATTTACTAATATGTGTTTCAACATAGTAATACATTATTAAAATCCAAAGTTGTATTTGTTAACATTAATGCACTGAAGTACATGAACAAACAATGAACAGCTGGACTTTTATTAACTAACATTAACGAAGATTAATAAATACAGTAACATATTGCTCATGGTTAGTTCATGTTAGTTAATACATCAACTAATTTTAACAAATGAAACCTTATTGTAAAGTGTTAGTATTTATAGTCAGTAGTCAAAAGTCTGTTGGGAGCATTACAATAAAGTGTTGGCAGATATTAGACAGTCTATGAATGACTGCTAGTTGACATATTGCAAAGTTACCAGAATGTCTAGACTATATCAAAATATATATAAAATATATCAAGTGCTATATTTAACTCTGTTTAAAATATAGCTATTTATTGAAATGAGTTAACAATCAGAGTAAAAATGTGGTACAACAAAATAGAAAAAAAAACTCACTTCCAGATGGACAACCAGAAACCCCTTTGAACTCGTTGAGCACAGCACAGTTCTGATACTCCTATAGTTCTGCATAAAGGACTTATAAGGACTTTTATGCAAACATTTGGGACATCCAATTAGCGGTTTTCTTGATATGTTTGAACATTTGCATATTTTATATTGATTAGTAATTTGATGAGTGTGTTCAATCCATTCTAGCATAACAAATTCAACATTTAAACATATATTTGCTTGACAGTTTTATCAGTTAAACAGAAGAAAATGGCATTCAATTAATGCAACGTTCTGTTCTCATTTTATACAAGTGAAAATAAATATACTAAAATATACTACAAATACATTCACATATTTATATAGGCTACTTAATATAAATACCCTGCAATTTTACTTACTAAATTGATATACTTAAAGTCTGCTAAATTGGAACAACTAAGTGTATATCAAGTGCAATGCAATTACCCTGCCTACTTGTCTATTGTAGACACCTTTTTGTTACAGATATTTAGCCAATGTGCTGAATATAATGCATTGTGTACAATGTTGTTATTTTGTTTCTAAGAAATATTATACTGTATTGGCATAGATCCCCCGAAACTAGTGTCGCGGAGCGGGCGTGTTACGGATACGTGGTGTACATTTTTTAGTAATCAAAAATCATGTCTAATTAATTGAAATCATAAAACTTTTATTATAAACAATTATTAAACTTATACAAATTATTATTTTTTTAATCTATGAAATGTTTTTTTTTCACACAAATTCTGTTGTTTTTTCTGGTAACCAAATGAAGACAAAACATTAATTACATTTCTTTTAATCATATGAAATTGAACAAACTTTTTTGTCAAACAACATGCTGCACAATGAGCTATACTGTTAAAATTAAAACATGGAAGAAAAATGTATTAGCCTATTCCTTAAAAAATAAAGTTGAGATCATAATTTATTTATATTAGTGTTAGTATTATTATTACAATGAGATGCATCTAAATTCTACTGTATAACAGTAATATATTTCTGTTAAGTTAAACCGAACTTTTATTTTGACGGGTTGCCGTGAAGACCTTTGAGTCTCTTGCTGCGTCCCAATTCGCCTACTTATACTACGCCCTAAAAGTATGTACTCTTTTTGTGAAGAAAAAGTACATACTTTTGAGTGTGTAGCATTTTTTACAGTCTATGGTAGCAAAAGAGTAGGCAAGCTTTGGGACATACTACTTCGTCATCTTTAACGGACAGCTCTGTCGCGTGCATCCTGTCACCGTAAACTGCCCCGTCAATCATCTCGTCACAGTTAAAATCCTCCATTCAATCTAATATAACTTCTCAGGTTAGATACTGATAATTAATCACTCAAACCCCTTTATCTAAACCTCTCTACATAACCGTCGGACTCGCGCGTCCTCCATGTCTGTAGTTTTTGAACACTTTTCACTGGCGTTTGTAGTTCTAACCGAATCCTCGTCCAACGCGCGATGGGTTGTGGGCAATATCAGCCGTTAGTAGGGCTGTAGTCAACCAAAGAAATCCTTAGTCGACCAAAGTCTTGTCCTGCACAACGATTAGTCGACTAAAAAAATAAAAAAATAAAAAAAGATGCGATGTTTTGATTGAACATTTTTTAACAATTGTCATAGAGCATTTATAAAACAACAACGAAAAAACATCAAAAATACATAAAACTATAATAATAATACAATTCTTTGAAAATTAACTGCTTTTAACTGCAAAAAGTGAGGAGCACTGTCCTAGGTCTATAGTAACAGTCACAATCGCGCAACTGACAACACCACACGCTACAAAAAATATAACTGCTATATGCCACAATGAAAAATCCTAACAAAAGCTCTCGTTTATACAGGCTGTATGTTCTTCTTTACTTTCAAAGCTATGGGTTAACTTTTGTCCAGCCGATCTAGGCGTTTTAAAACAAACACACACAAAAACCCAAAGAGCCTAAAAAACAATCCTAATAATAATAGGTTGTATTGTAGGACCGCATATAGGTTTATTTTCGTTTTGTTACATTATTTAGGCTATTTTCAAATGCGTCAAGTGTACAAATAAAAACAAAAACATATCAAGAAAACACAATCTATTGAGTCAGCATGATAAAGCCGTTAAAGGGACTGCTCACGTCTTTTGCGCGCTCAAGTTCGATTTCAAATGTAGGCGCGCGGTGTGCGCGCTCATGATGGAAGCAACGCGGTCGCGGTGAGACCTTTATACAGTCTATGGGTGCGATGCGCTCTTTTTTTCCAAGTGCGTCCACGCCGCATCGAGATAAAAACATATAGTGTATAAAAACATAAAAACCGAAACAAGTAGCGTTCTAACTGAATGAAAGCTGAACTACCTATATCCCTTACTGAGCACGAAGCAGCAGCGCAGCCAGCCGTGTGAACCGAGTGTTCTATGTGTGTGCGCTAAACTCTGGCGCTGTTACAAAATAGCCTAAATTAAAGCATTTAAAGTTGGGGATAAACCATAGGCTAATTATATTTAGAATACAGTAATATTTAACTGCTTATAAAGGAATAATTATCAAGGAGTAAATCATGGAAAATTTCTTTCTATTGGTAAAAAAAAAAAAAAAATGCAACTGGTCGACCAATAAGAATGTCAGTCGACCAAGACGGCATCGACCGATTAGTCGACTAAACGACTAAAGTTGACAGCCCTAGCCGTTAGAGTGTGCAACGATCTGCACTTCGGATTCTGACTGGATATAGTAGACCATCCGGGTCTCTTTGGGACACTAATTTCAACATACTACGATTTGGGACGTACTAATTCGCAGCATCTGTGTTTATGACATGACGATAGTTTTCTCAAATTAAGCGGTTAAATGCTCACGGAGTGACTTTAAGAGCGGATCTAGAGTCTGGAGAGGAAGTTCATGCATTCGTGTCCTCATATAGGCAAAAACAACAGGTCGAGCGTCACACGTGCTTCAGCACGTGTGTGTGTGTGTAATGAAACTGCGCGTCGTCTGCACCATTCATTCGTATTTAAATAGTATTTTAGCCATTTAATATTCACACACTAGTCTATCGCGATTTGATTTCAAGTGTACTAAACTGGTCTATCGCGAAAAGCATAGCCGCTAAAGTTACTACATGGAGCTCTTGCGTCCAGTTTTTTTTTTTCATTCATTCAGGGGGGGGGGGGGGGGCGGGGGGGCGGGGGGGTAGTTTTGATGGTAGGTGGTAAACAATGGTAGGGGAAACACTTTTATTTTTCACTGACTCTCAACCTAACATTAGCATGAAAGCCACTATACCCCATGTGAGGAGGCTTTCAATGTGCAGATAAA